ATCTGAAACAGGCTCCAGGCTCTGAGCTGTCAGCACAGAGCCCGACACGGGGCTCGAACCCACGAACCGCGAGATCATGACCTGAGCCAAAGTTGGACGCTTAACTGACTGAGCCACCCAGGCACCCCACGTACAGACTTTTAATTGTTAGGTCAGACTAGACAATGACTTTCATGACTCAGTTATTCCTTTCGTAAAATGGGGATAATGCTTTCAGTGTATCTGTGAGGTATTGGAGGGAGTGAAAAGCCCACGTGAAAGAGAGATAATAGATTTGCTCACATGTGAAGACATCCTTGTTACTTCTAGGTATTAGGCGCCTTGGAAGTCTTGACCGTCATGCAGCATGTCAGAATGAATCTCTTATCCCTGTCAAGTGTCTTTTAGAACTGCTGCTATCGTTAAAAAACATTTTAGGAACTCTTGTTCAGGAAATGCCTTTTTTGGTCACATTGTGATATATTTAGGCTGTATATTTTGATGCAGTTTTGAGTTTGGAAAATGTCCAAAGATCATTTGGCATCAAATTTGATAAATAATTAATAAGATAGAGGTCAAACTTTGTGATGCAGTTTTCGTTTAAAAATAGAGATCGGTGGGGCACCTGGTGGCTCAGTCGGTTAAGCGTCCAACTCTTGGTTTCAGCTCAGGTCATGATCTCACGGTCCATGGGACTGAGCCCCATGTCTGGCTCTGTGCTGACAGTGCTGAGCCTGCTTGGGATTCTCTCTCTCCCTCTCTCTTTGCCCCTCCCTCGCTTGTGCTCTCTCTCAAGATAAATAAACATTTTAAAAAATAGAGATTTGTTACTATAAATTTATAAGGCCTATTTTGTGTGAATCATAAATGAGGTAGAAAGCACCTTCCCACAGGGAAGTCACAAAATGTGTGGAACATTGGGATCACATATGTTCCCTCCAAAATATGCATATCTAGAGCTTAGTACACACTTGTACACAAATACCAGTATATTTCGTAAAAACTTGTTGTGTTGAATATGTCATAATTTCTAGCGTTATAGAGGATTTTTGCCCACATGACGGCATACCCATTGGACAGCAAAGACCTCAGATGGGTTTAACTTTCATGCATAACGAATTACTATTTTTCATGGAACACTCTGACTTGCTTTTGTTTTCTTTTTTTGAAAAACCAGATGATGAGAAAATTCAAAAAGAAAGACGCCCCGTAGACATGATCAAGTGCTCGAAGAAAAAGTCCTGGCAAATCCCTATGTCACCTGACCAGTTCCTACTGACCGTTAATGCCCTGCAGCAGGCCCATAATTCGGGGGCATTTGCCTATCCCCGTAGGCCGCAAACCCAAGTCATCGATGCCCAGGGACCTTCAATTCCACACCCAAGGAAGGTCTTGAGTTTCAAAGGAAAATCAATCCAACACGCCGTTGATAGGTTGAGGCGCAGCGAGCCTCCCGTAGATGTGAAACAAACCAACATTCCCCTGGAGATCCAGAAACTGCAGCCCAACCTGAAGAACTCTTTGCACAGTCCCCGAGTCCAGTCCACCATACCCCAGCCCGTGATAATCCACCCCCGACTCACCGGCAGCTGCAAGGGTGAAGACCAAGTGACCAGCTCCATCGACGGGACCGTGCGCGCCTTCAGCCCATTAACCAGCACGCAGGTCATTAAACCGAACCGCATGCTGGCTCCACCAGCGGGCATGACAACCAAATCTATCAAGAGAGAACGACCTCACTTCTGTACGACCCTTGACCCCTTTAGAGCGAACACTCAGTTCATGTTGTTGACTGTAAGGGAGGAGAAAGAGTGTAGGGAGGCCAAGACGAAGGACTATCAGGCCAGGAAGCCCACTAAAGTGCTCGATCCAGAAAAAGCCAGCAAATCTGCATGGATCAGGAAGATCCAAGGCCTGCCTATAGATAATTTCCTGAAGCAAGGGAAAATAGCGGCTCCTGAACTTGGACAAAACATGTTTATCTGAACCAGCCTTGGGGCATGAACATCTTACAATAAACAGAAAACCAAGTGGATGTCGGGGTTTGGCCACTTGTTTTTTTTGCTTGTTTGTTTGTTTTGGACTGGCCCTTGGCAATGTGGGGAGTCCGAATTATCTTCCTAGAAGCCAAAGAATTGATATAATCAAAGTAAGAAAAGAGGGGGAGCTGGGAGCTGGGAGCGATTGGCATCTGTGTTCCCACTGAAAACCACCGAAACTTATGAAAGCCCAACTTCACTGGTGGGAGATGGGAAAGTGATCATTGGAAATTGAATACCACTCATCATTACCAGTTTAGGGCTACCATTCTGATCGCACATGAATGATGGGATTGTGTTAGAATAATGCATTGGAATTCTCGGGTATTTTTGCACGGAAGCCTGATGAAGTTCAATGAGCTCAGTTAAGCATCTAAAAGGAGATACCCTCAATGGGGTTGACCTATTGCATTGGAGAACGTTATGCGTTCTTTTCCTTCTCAGGGCTCTTATGGAAGAGAATTGGGCATAGACATCTTTTCTTCGAAGAGGGACACTAATATCAAGTGTGTGGATGTTTCTACTTAGACCTTCCAAGATGGTGTCGGGGACCAGGCAGGTAAAAGAGGGCGGCACACTACTGGAGCGATTGGAGAGCTCAAGCCTCCTACTCCGTGGCTCAGCATGACCACAGGATGGTGTGAGATAGTAGAAAATATATATTGGTCTCTGCCCCCAGTTCCTGGCACAGAGCTCCTGAAACCCTTATAAATTCCTAAGTGATATGAACACCAGGAACATCTCTTCTTTTTAACCAGGCGACTCAGAGTGGGCTCCTGGATGGGTCCTCGATGGGGGCTGGTCGGTCACCAGAAAGCTTGGGAATTTTAGCCCCACCCCACATCTCTCCAGAGAGGAGAGAGGGGCTGGAAGTGGAGTTAATGATCCATCATGCCTACGGTGATGAAACCTCCGTAAAAATCTCAACAGTATGGGGTTCAGAGTGCTTCCAGATTGGTGCACACATCCATGCACTGGGAGGGTGATGCACCCCAACTCCATGGACCCTCCCAGGCCTTGCCTATATGTGTCTCTTTGTCCGGTTGTTCATCTGTATCTTTTAATAAGCGGGCACATGTAAGTGTTTCCTCGAGTTCTGTGAACTCCTCTAGCAAATTACTTGAACTCAAGAGGGAGGGTCATCGGAACCTCAAATCTATAGTCGGTTGGTCAGGAGCGCAGTGATAAACTGGGTTTCCAACTGGCGTGTGAAGAATGAGTGTATGTGAGAGACAGAAAGAGGGAGGGAGAGCTGGCACGCACGAGAGTCTTCTGGGACTGAGCCCATAACGTGTGGGATCTGGCTCTATCTCTCTAAAATGTCAGAATTGGGGGCGCCTGGGTGGCGCAGTCGGTTAAGCGTCCGACTTCAGCCAGGTCACGATCTCGCACTCCGTGAGTTCGAGCCGCGCGTCGGGCTCTGGGCTGATGGCTCGGAGCCTGGAGCCTGTTTCCGATTCTGTGTCTCCCTCTCTCTCTGCCCCTCCCCCGTTCATGCTCTGTCTCTCTCTGTCTCAAAAATAAATAAACGTTGAAAAAAAAAATTAAAATGTCAGAATTGAATTGAATTGTAGGACACCCAGCTGCTGTCACTGAGAACTGCTTGGTGTGGGGCAGGAACTCCCACACATCTGGTGACCAGAAGTGAAGTGTTTTATGTGAGGAGTAAAAGAGACAGCAGAGAAGTACAGTAGGGAAGAAGTGGGCTTTTCCCTGCACAGCAGAGAGACTGAACTGAGACTTTCCTATACAGGTGGTAATGAATTCAAATAGAATGCAAGCCAAAAACAACACAAAACTCCACAACCCACACACTGGATGGGGCGCCAAACACATGGCATGGGCAGGCTAGAGGCCCAGGCCACCTCTTCAGGGCCTTCGCTTTTCACCTCCAAGTGCGGGACCGTAATTCTTTGCCAAGGTTTCTCTCCTTTAAGAATTTATTTTTTTCATTATTAGGATATTAAGTTTATTTATTTATTAAAAAAGTTTTTTTTTGGGGGGGGGGGCCCTGGGTGGCTCAGTCCATTAAGCATCTGACTTCAGCTAGGGTCATGATCTTGTGGCTGGTGAGTTCGAGTCCCCCATCAGGATCTGAGCTGACAGCGTGCAGCCTGGAGCCTGCTTGGGATTCTGTGTCTCCCCCTCTCTCTGCCTCTAACCCACTCGCATTCTGTCTCTGATTAAAAACATCTTTTTTTAATCATTTATCTTTGAGAAAGAGAGACAGAGTGTGAGTGGGGGAGGAACAGAGAGAGAGGAGACACAGAATCCAAAGAAGGCTCCAGGTTCTGAGCTGTCAG